TGTTATAAAATGTGTGTGTGTTAGATGATTTTGCCTAACTATAGACTAATGTAAGTGTTCTAAGCACGTTTAAGGTAGGCTAGACTGAGCTATAACATTCAGTAGGTTAAGTATATTAAATGCATTTCAAGTTACGATATTTCCCCCTTAGGATGGTTTTATGAGGACATAATCCAATCATATGTCGAGGAGCATCTGTATATTCATTCCTGCAGTCATTGGGTGATTATTTTGTGAAATGCATTATTTTAGACATTTGGGGGAACATAAAGAGAGTGACATTCAGTCCCAGCTGTCAAGGAAACTTAAATCTAATAGTGGCACAAATGCAGGCCACTGGCCCATCCTAAGAAAGAAGGAACACACCTGGTCCAGGTAGTTAGAGCTGGGAGCAGAATCCAGGAGGAAGCCACGCTGAGCTCTCTTGCTGAAGGCCTGGGGGCCTGTGGTGCTATGAAGTGAAGGATGGTGACTAGCACCAAGTGTGAAGAGAGGGGAGGAGGATGGATTCCAGGGGGGCGGAACAGAAGCTCTTAAGGCAGAGCATCAAGGGATTTGGAGGAGCAGCAAGTTCCTCCACAGCAATGGTCCCCAAAGAAGAGTCACTGGAGGACCAACGTCACAACTTCTGCCATTTCTGGTTAAAATTTTGCCGTTTCTGGTAACCTCGTTTACTATTATTTACTTAGTATTTTCCTTTAAATGGACTCACCATTTTTACTTAAACAAACATGTTACAAGGAAAAAGTTTATGTTAAAGACTTTTGTCACACCACCATGAAACAAAATACCAGTATTGCTTGCTGTCATGATGAAGTAGTGCTCCAAATACATGCTATAGAAATAGAATGGAATCCAGTTCTGTTGCCTGCTGAAATGTTCAGGTCTGTGGTCTGTTTTCTCCTTGTAAAAAAGCAAAATAGCTAGTACTGGTGTGGTGACAGGGACAGCCCAGCCCCAAACTGAGCCAACCCAAGACTCCTGGAAGGACTGCAAAGGAATGGAGGAAGGATAACTTCCTCACCCTCTGATTGGATGTAATTTAACTCCCGGTCTGTGAATTACCTAAAAGCACCCCAAGTGCCACCAGCGGGACACATTCCACCCCAGAACAGATGGAAGGAACGGAGGGGCATACGGCACTGTGGCGCCAGTCGTACCTGCAGTCTCTGCAGAGCGACGGTGAGCTCCGTGAGGGCTGGGATCAGGGGCGGCCATCTGTGTTGACCCCACAGATGCTAAGAGAGGTGACTTCTGCAGCCCGTAGCACAGTGAGGGCACACAATAAATACTTATCAAAGGTCTTAGGTTAGGTCTCACTGACATTCTAAGATCTTTTGGCTCTTTCTTAAAAAGTAAAAAATTATTATAAGTTCATAGTGATAATGGTATTTCATATCATCACATTCCCTCCCCACCTAAAAATAAAGAAAGAATATTGATAGGAAACTAAAAAGTGTAAAACCCAACCAAAATCTGCTGATGAGTAGATGCCACGGGATACACAATAAGAATATACAGGTGAATTTGAATAGTCTCAAAGGAAAATGAAGACTCTCTTTTGCGAAGTCCCATCCAAAGGCGTGCCCAGCGGCTGCAGAGGCCCTGGTGCGTGTGCACGGCCCCGGCACAGCTCTGTCCTCAGTGGAGCTGGCTTTGTTCTCCCCGCGTTTCCTGTTCAGGTGCCTTTTCTCTGTGCATTTCTCACAACACCCCTGCCTGTCACTTGGCATTCGGCGCCGAACAAGAGCGAGTGGGGAAGCCTGCTAATGCATTGCAAATGTGATTGCCGCATTGCCTTAAAAGCACTGTCACATTTCAGCATTTCATTTCAAGGTTTCACCCGGAATTGTGTCAGTATTTTAAGTGGGCTATTTTCTGTAACCCGTATCATTATGAATAGGAGACATTAAAGTACTGATTGCAGCTTGAGAATTTAATTTCAGAAGTGATTATACTGCATCTCTAAAATTTGCATTTTTAAAGCAGGTTTCCCCCAAATAATGCTTTGGCCAATACACCTCCGTGTAGAAAGTAGTTTCTTACGGTAAATGGTTTTTTTAATATTTGATTTCAGTATGAGGCCAGTCCAATTTTATAAATTAACATAATTTGCTTATAATAAACTCAAATCTACTAAAGTGATAACTATTCTATCATTTGTAGATGTTCTGAAGAAATGTGGTCTTTTATTTCAGATGAGCCTTTACAGAACTTGCTGGTGCTTTAAGCAACAGTGCCCAGCCTTTTTGGCACCAGGGACCGTTTTCATGGAAGACAATTTTTCCACGGGATGGGGGTGGGGAGGTGCTGGGGTGGGGATAATTTAATGATGATTCAAGTGCATTACCTATATTGTGCACTTTATTTCTATAATTATTACATTGTAATATATGGTGAAATAATTATACAACTCACCGTAGGTTGGGGGCCCCTGCTTTAAAGGATGCTGGCAAAGATTTGACATCAGTTCACCACATTTTTAATAAAAACCAAATGATTGGCTCAGGCACTAATAAAACATGGTCTTAAAGGAGTTCTAATAACCACTTAAATTTTTTCTAAAAACCTCACTATGCCATTTCTATAGAGTCGCTGATTAGAAATGCCAAAAATCCACATGAATATGAAAAACAACGCAATATAACCTATTTTTCAGAGAGAAATTGAGACTAATACAAAACATCTGACTTCTCTGTTTTTTAAATGAAACATAAATGTTTGTTCATTGAGGCAAAGCCTTAACTTCTCTAAGCCTCAGTTTCCTCATCTGTGAAGTGGGGGTAATCCTCTCTAGCTCAGAGGGTTGTTAGGAGACTTAATGAGATTCTGCATAAAAAGTACTAAGCACAGTGCCCCACGCATGCACTGACCTTGGCTTATAGTAGAGGTTCCAATATTATCATCATCACATGGCCCTGAGTTGGAACCATCAGGTCCTAAAAAATCAAGAGCATCTGTTGCAGTCTTGGCCTCCCAGGGGACTTGGTCCCAGCCGAGAGTCTTTAGGAAAGAGGCACATCAACCAGATTTGGCACGCTCTCCAGATTTGGAAATACCGGTTCTGCCCTCCTGGCCATCAGAATCCTTGTTTTTGTGAGCCGGTCACCTTTCAGGAAAGGAACAGCAGTTAAAACACTGGGGATTTTCCCCAGTTGGAAGAAAACACAGGAGAAAAGCTAAAGAGAGTGCAAGCACCCCAAAGAGAATGGGAGCGTGCGGGTAGGTCATCCACTGGGGCCTGTTCCTGCCGTCCAGCCCCAACCCTCTGCCCGCTCAGCTGACATTTCTACCAGTGCCCGAAGCCCAAGGCCTGGGCCCAAGAGCCTCTGCTGCCACCCACTATTCCTCTGTCCCTGATCCACCATCAGAACCCCAGTTCCCAGGCTCCCCGCTCCCTGGGGGCCCCCTTAGAGGGAGACACTAGGGGAAGACAGCCCTTTAAGAAGTGGGGACCCTGCGTTAAATAGCAAGCCCTCAGAGAGATGTGCTTTGAAACTGTCGGTTTTCTACAGTGTCACCGGGAAGCCCGCCCTCCTTAAAGTTTAGAAAACTGCGTCAGGGACCACATGAAATGGAGCCAGAGTCAGAAGTTCCCTACCCAGATCTCTAGCAGAGGAACCAGAACTGAAACTGACTCATGATAGGTACTATAACAGCTTTAGCAAGAGGCAAGCGAGTGCAAGAGGATGCTGGCCAAGAACAAGGCACTTCCTCCAGGTCCACTGCAGAAGCCCATGGCAAAAAGAAGAATCCTGTCTTAGCCCGGGGACTTAGCAGGGGCCGGAAGGGCTAATGCAGCACTTGCTCAGAGCAATTGCACCCTGCTGCTAGAATTATCTTTCTAATACAGTTCTGATCACAGTCCTCTGCAGCTCCAGCATCTTTGAGTTTCCCACTGAAATAGAAGCATCTTAGCTCGGCATTCAAGGCTCTTCCCACTCTTGACTCCCCATAGTTCCCCGAACATAACAAACCCCATAACAAACTCAGCCTGGAGTTCTCTCTCCTTTCATCCTCAAAGCCTAGTTCTAGTGCTACCATTCCTGGAGCACATTCCAGAACCCCATGCAAACTTGCTTCCCTGATAATTTTACTGGATACATGGTTTGTTTCTCAGCTCAGAAAATCACAGTAGTTAAAAGGCTCTGGGGTCAGTCTGCCTGGCTGACTAGCTGAGGAATCTTAAGCATTTAAGGGCTCCTACGAGATTAGTTTCTGTTAGGTGGGTTCTAAAATTTGGGGCAGAGGGCAGAGAAGACAGTATGGATTTAGTTGGTGCAACAATGCTTGGTTATTTTGCACATCGCTGCCTCTGGAAAGCCTCTTCAGACACGCCCCTGAGTTGAGGGTTAGTTTGGGAGGATGTTGAGTTTACTGGCTGGGGGAGGTGGTGATTCGTAAATGCACGTGTGTGTTGTGATTGAGTTGGGAAAGTTTCTCGACTTCCAAAACCTCCATCGGATACTAGCAGGGATTCTGTAAAGGGGACTGGGTTCTGAAGAAAGGAGATGCCTAAATTCAGGCCTTTTTTTCTTTCTTCTCTTTAATAAAGAATTCTAAATAAGAAGATAAAACGGAGGTACAAAACAGAACCATAATTTGCCAGGAGGGCTGAGCAGGGGACCTTGTTCAGTATGTTAAGAGGGTCAGGGACACATCAGAGAAGCCAAGGAGAAAAATCAATCAGAACCGAGTGAGTGTTGTTAGTTTCAGCGATGTCTCAAGCAGCCAGAAGGTACTTACGAATGTGTTTTGTTTTATCAAATAGTCTTACTCTCATCCATGCATGTTCTCTAGGAACAAGGCTCTTTTAAAGTGATGTTTGCCGCCTTAAGTCTTATCGAGTCATTAATATTTTATCTAAAACAATAGAACATCTTAAACCTGGCAGTAAGGTTTGGACACAAGTATACACTGCACTTGCAAAGACAAGTATATTGTATGGCTGGAATACAGCGTGTGGTATAAGGTTTTTATTTTCTTTCTTTTTCTTTTAGAAACAGGGAAGATCGACCAAGAGATTCACAAATACAACACCCCGGGATTCACGGGTTGCCTCTCGCGAGTCCAGTTCAACCAGATCGCCCCTCTCAAGGCTGCCTTGAGGCGGACCAACGCCTCGGCCCACGTCCACACGCAGGGCGAGCTGGTGGAGTCCAACTGCGGGGCCTCGCCGCTGACGCTGTCCCCCATGTCGTCGGCCACCGACCCCTGGCACTTGGATCACCTGGATTCAGGTAAGGTCTACAGCAAGCGTGGGCAGATTGCTTTATTTCTTTAAACCTCAGTTTCCTCTACTATCAAATGAGTTTAGTAACAGAACTTCACTGGTGATATTGCTGGAGGATTAAGCAAGAGCCAAGGAGCGAGTGAGCACAAGAGCTCTCAGTGCAGCGCCTAGCATGGCAGAAGTACTCAGGGCCAGAACTAAACGTAAAGTCGAAGGTAAAGGATATAGGAACTGTTGATTCCTCATTTAAGTTCAAGGATGAGGTGCCTACACCGATGTCTGTGACGTGACTGTGGGGTGATGTGACCAGATCACTTCCCCTTTTGGCTCCCACTGACTTGTAGCCACACAGTCCGTGTTTCAGTATTGGAAGGAGAGATCTATCCAGAGCAGTGCAGAGATTCAGCTCCTGGCCCTGTATTTATGACTGATACCGTAGGCTTCCGGATCCTGAAGAGGTGCATTTAAGCTTACAAAACTCGGTGGACTTAGTCCCACGTCCGCGAGTGATAAGACATGTCATCTGAAAGCACAGGATGGGAAGGAAAGGATGTAGCTGATGGCTGCAAAATTAACTGTATGAAAAGCCAGTGTCCCCATAACCCCGCGTGGTGGAGAGCCCATTAAACGCTTGTCGGGAGACTCAGGGCTTGCTCCGAGCTCTGTCTAAATTGACCTTGGGCAACTCAGGTGACCTTTCTAAGCCTCTGCTTCTTCACCCATATGACGAAGAAGTGGGGTGCGTTCTCTACGTGACCTCCAAGTCCAACATCCAGTGGGTCTCTAAGCAACATGTGATGTTGCCGATGCTAAAAACAGGAAGGGGATGAGGTGAGAGGCAGCGTGGCGGGGAGGCCTGGGTCCCAGCACCGTCACTGCCTCTCTCCCCAGATTAAACTTCATTCCTCAGTTTCCCCGTTTCTAAAATGGAGATCATAAGACCTAGCTCATAAAATCCCATTTGAGATGATGTGTTTAAATCACCTAGCACAACCACAGGCATGTAGCAAGCGTTTAAAAAGTTTAGCTGCAATAACATTAGTAATAATCGTGCTTATTATTGTATTAGACACAATTTGCTATAATGCTTGAACATCTAGTAAAGGCTTCCAGACCCCCCATGCCGACTCCTGATTTGTAACGGCGCATCGTAGAAACAGCATGCCTTTGATTCTTTAATCACATTCCAGTCTGCACACCGCATTTATCAGCTTCAACACAGCCTCCATCATCATGCCAGGATCACACCGCAGAGCCTGGCGAAGCCTAGGAAGAAACCAGAATTGCCCCGTTGTCAGAATAGCCAATTCACAGACTAAACAATCCTCTTTGTTCTTCACACACGGACTCCTATAACTTGATGAGGAGCGCTGTGTGCCAAGGGCCCTTATACAGAATTCCCTTTTATCAACGTTGTGAGGATTACAAGCAGGCTGGTTTTTCCTCGTGGGCTGGCTTGAACAAAGGAAAGCATTCCTAATGCTGCAAGAAGAAAAGTAAGAGTGAAAATATGAGAGGAGAAAAGACATATGTCAGGGCCACAGAGGAGCAGGGATTTCTCAGACTAATTGCTCCAGATGCCACAGTGGACGAAGACCACAAGTGATCTTTGAAATGCACAAGTCCTTATGCTGTGGCAGGTACTCACTGCAAGGCAATGATCATGTGCACAGTCAGGGCTAAGGGATTCGTCTCAAAAACATCTAGATCCTACCTTGGGCCAATATGAGTCCATATTTATTATAAATTAATTTAAAAACTGCTTTTGAGGTCTGTAAGATACAATTGTACAAAGCAGTTTTAGTTCCTTTATCTTTAAAAAATCATACTTTGTGCATGGCAGTTTAATTTTTTTGATTGATTCATAACATATAATAGGGAACATTCCTGTTAGTATTCAATGTTCAAATCAAAATTCTGTGATTCCAGCCAGGCAAGGTGGCTCAGGCCTGTAATCCTAGCACTTTGGGAGGCCAAGGCGGGAGGATTGCTTGAGGCCAGGAATTCGAGACTAGCCTGAGCAAGAGTGAGACCCTCGTCTCTACAAAAAATAGAAAAATGAGCTGGGTGTGGTGGTGCCCACCTGTAGTCTCAAGCCACTAGAGAGGCTGAGGCAGGATAATCACTTGGGCCCAGGAGTTTGAGGTTGCAGTGAGCTATGATGCCACCACTGCAGTCTAGCCTGGCTAACAGAGTGAGACTCTGTCTCAGAAAAAAAAGAAAAAGAAAAAAAATTCTGTAACTACAATATTATGGCAGGCCTGTGCTACGTAACATGAGGTCCATTTGCAGAAAAACTTCTACTCTGCCGAGAGTTCTTCTCCAATGTCAACCACTTGCAGTATCAACCATTTCCATAATTTCCATAATTGGCAAAATGCTCATTAAAAATACGTATCTGTCTCGGGGACTCTATTAAAAGACTGAAAACAGCTTACAAACTATGAGGCAGAAGGCTTATTTAAATAACATGATTTGACTTTTTTTCTTTTAGGTGAATTGGATCATGAGAGGGAATGTGGGTTGGGGGCTGAAAGGGACCTGGGGCCAGATGTACACATGAGGGAAGGTTACTTAGTAGCAGCCTCCTGTGGCCCCATGTCAGGGAGGAAAACCTTTTCCTCTAGGCTCTTAAGTTCAGTTCTGGGAGGCCTGCGAATTAAGCTGATAAAAGACAGATGAACAGGTGAAGAAAACTTTATTCGTATGAATACAGGAATTTACAAAAGAACTCAGTAAATGGTTAAAGCTAGAGACTTATATCCCTACCTTATTAGGGAAAGTGGGCGTGGAGAAAAGCCCTCTAATGAAGAACACGCGGTTTCCAGAAGAACAAATGAGGGGTAAAGTCTGTGATGACGCGTGTTCGTGCAGGTGTGAGTGATCTTGACCTCTCCTTCATGGCATAACGTGAATCCCAACAGATGCTTCAGTTGTAAATAATTTCCATACCGACTTGGGTTCTAAGCACATCGCCCCATCAGCAATCGCATTCTGGATTTTGTGAGCCTTTGTTCCTCATTCCAAATTCTGATTGGAGGGTTTTGCGTTTTTCAAATAACTTTTCACGTTTCAATAGAATAAGAATTCTTGCTATCAGATAGCCATAAACAAAACAGTAGTACATACACAAAAATGCCATTTCTACTTGAGTCCGTGGAGGGTTAGGACAGGAGGAAAGCAGAGTGGGAGCTCATTGGTCCTGGCTTGACTAGAGGACATTTGGAGTAGATGCTTCATTGGCTGCCTGGGAAAGTTGGTCCTGGACGAGCAGCCTCAGCTCATCTGGGAGCTTGTTAGATGGACAGACTCTCTGGGCCCCACCCCAGGCGGACTGAATCCACATCTGCAGCTGAGCAGGGTTCCCAGGTGACTCACCACGTGCACATTAAAGATTGCGGGACATTTGTGGCTGGTCAATCTAGCGCAGTGCTTCTCAATCTTGGAGGCACTTCGGAATTACCTGGGGAGCCTTTTAAATTCACAATATCAAGATTATACTTTCCTGGATGGTTTCTGCAGTTCATTACTAGGGAAGTTTCTCCTAACGAGTGCAGCACCGAAAACCCCCAGGAGAGCACAGCACTCTCTGGGTGCTGCTTCGCTGCGCCCGCTCTGCGCCATTGATGATGGCTCTCCCCTTCCTCCGGGAGAGCAGGAGGGAAAGGACATCGTCCAAGTGGTCTCCATTTTTTTTATTTATGTATACGTATACATATATATATATGTATATATATAAAAATCCCAGTGTCTACACTCCTGACCGATTCAATCAGGCACTCTGGGGGTGGGATGCAGGTATCTGAAGATGTAAAACCTCCCCAGGTGATTCCAATGCGTAGCCAAGGTTGAGAATCACTCACCAAATAAAGCGATCCCATTGGCAAACCGCTTGAAATAAGGTTACCAAAAGAAAAAATTAAATACCCAAATAATACAAAAAAAAAAAAACCACATGAGTTTATGAAAAACAATGAAGCTTTTGGGTGGTGGAAGCACAACTAGAAAGGCTGTAGCAAGGAGCTTGCAGAAGGACAGAGCTACTCTGACCATCGTAGAAGGAAGCTCCCCAAGATAGGGAGGAGATTTTTATCTAAATCTGAGGAGAACCAATCTGCCTGTTTGCAAGTGGAAAAGCAGACCTGAAACAAGTGAGCGCTGGATCCACCGCGTGGGGCAGGGCTCGGAGGCCCGGAGGGAAGCCCATCACTGTAGAAGGCGCTGCAGCCCGGGAGCCAGCCTCAGTCTGGGAAGATGTCAGATGATTATTATTATTCAGTGTTTTGAACTGGCTGCTAACTTACTTTGAAAGATGCTGCTTTAAAATGAGAGTTATGCTTTTCTGAAAATAAAGCGTGTACCTTGCTAAGAATAGGGAATCTTATGGCCTTGGTGTTACACGGATCTCAGTGATCAACCAGGGCTGTCTGTTCATTTCATTCCTATACCAGGATATTTGTTTTGCAGGAACTTGATGATAGAATGAAAATTAGAATTCAAGACATCTCCCCATAGGTCTTGTGATCTTTCTGCTCCCTTGCATTTCTTTCTTCTTAGATCTTATAAATGATAGAAACAAACTATGTTCTAAGATATGCTGGCTTCATGTGATAAGATCCTTTTTCTCTTCTGTAACGCTACTGACTGAGCTATGTGTTACCTCTCCAATGCCCTCTGGGCTCTGCTGGTGTTTTCTGAAATGAGGGACATTTATGGTTGGTCGAGCAGTACACTGCACACTTCTAATGGATGTCATTTTCATGGCAGTCAGTGGCTCCTAGAGCAGCACAACATGGTAGCCTTGATAAAGGGGCACCAAATCTTTATGGGAAGCAAATACACATGGCTTTACATAACACACTAAGAAAGTCATTTCTTTCAGTCCTTCTGATTTTGTCAAAGAGAAAGTCTCCATTTAGTTCTGGCATGCCTTTAACACCTCTCCCACAATTGCATTTCACCCTGTAATAATGAGAGAGCAGGCTTCTGGTTAGAGCATTGACAGGC